ATCGTAGTGATCTGGTGTTGGAGGGTGTTCACGGGACATTGTTAGCAACTGTTAGTTCTTAAGCATACTACATGCATGAGTATACAAAATCAACAAACAAGCACCACAAACACACACCAAAGGTAGGCACATGAGGGGGGGGGGGTAGCATATATATACCCTAGGCTTCCAAAGGCTTGGTTTAACGGGTGCGCTTAAGATATATATACACACATGTCTTATATACATAATTACTACATTTGCACCATGTTCCCGCGGTGCCTGCTACGGAGCCTGTTGCAGAGCTCTGCGCTCTGCTCGCGGCTGCCTTTGGCGCGGCGCAAAAAAGCGGCGCAAGCCACCGGGGGATGGTTTGGGGACTCGGTTTCTTTTTGGGGTTTAGGGTGTTTCTGGGGTTTCGGGTTTAGGATTCGGGGTTGGGATTAGGGTTTAGCGTTTGGGATTTAGGCTCCACTTTCCAAAGTTTTATTGAATCCTTGGGGTTTTGGGTTTCGGGGCCTTGAAGAGCCAAGCTCAACCTATACAGGAGAAGAGCAAGCACTTGCATGGTTCAGGGATTGCGGTGAGGCCCAAGTATCCTAAACCCTTTTGAACCCAGACTTTGCCAATCAGCTGGGAAGCAGCACTTCCAGACTATTGCATCTCCGAAGTAGTATCCTAAACCTTAAACCCTTTTTGCAACTGACCTAAACCCTAAACCCTAAACCCTAAACCTTAAACCTTAAACCCTAAAGCCTAGGCCCAAGTATACAAAGGTTGAGGGTGTCGGATTAAGCGCTTCAACCCTTTGGGTGGAAGCTTCAGCCGTTCTTTAATGTAGGGGCCTTAATAATTAGAATAAGGTTTTGGGGTCCATTATACTATAAATATGAATAGGATCCCCCCAAAATGGCAATGGTATGTAGGCCCCTTTCGTAGGGTTTCCTTCCTGGCAATAAGCGTCCAACAATACCTGCGGATTCAAAAGCCTGTTGCTTTTTTCGGCAAGGCGCTATGTGACTATGAGGCCATGGGACCAGCTGCTATATTGCAGGGCTTTGGGATTCAGGTGCAGCTTAAACCCCTGAACCCCTGAGCCCTTGCAGAATTACAAGGCCCGAAGCGCCCGAAACCAAAAGCCCCTGACACCCAAACCATATGGCTAGGATCGCCGGTGCCACAATCCTGGCGTAGTCCCCCCACAAATTATCTAACGGATCAAGAGTTCTTATTTCGATCACAGAAGTGACATTTATTCGGCAACACTTACGACGTAAGCAATGTAGATCAGACAAGAGCAAGACCATACCCTTACGTTGTACCGTATCATGGCCAAAAGCCGGGTCTGTCTGGTTAGCTCTCAAGGAAGTCTTAAGGCTCGAATATGGGAGCTTTGCAGTACAGATCAAATGGGGGTTCCCGAAAATAGGGGACCCTAATATAGTACCCTAACTAGTAGGATCCCTATTATAAGGACCCCAAAATAAGGTACCCCTAAATAATCGGAAGCCCCCAAATCGAAAGCCCAGCACCCTGGCCTGCAGGACCGTGTCCATCTCCTCCTGGGCGAAGCCCTGGCATGAAGGCCAGGTGAGAGTCGAAAACGGCTTAGGCTGACTTGTCGGCTTAGGGTTTAGGGTTTAGGGTTTAGGGTTTAGGGGTCGGGTATCATGGGAAACTAAAGCTTAACCTTTAGGGTTTATATAGGGGTTACATAGGGATATACTACCCGAAAAAAGTGAAAGGTTACCTACTCTACTACTAGGTAGGGTTGAGGGCTTGAGGCTTTCACCCGCCTTAGCTTTGATGCTGCGGGTTTATGGGACACTTGAACCGACTTAACCCCTCCCGAAGACATGATTACGTAAAGAAGCCCCACCTTAAATCACCACAGTCTACCTTGTTTGTCGTGTTGCAATACAAGACCCACGCCAGAATTTGCAGGGGTCCTCCAAACAAGTAGTTTAAGGTTCTCACTCAACCATCCAAGCCCTCCTAAACTGTTAGCATCAAGACCCTAACCCCCACCTTCGTGCCCTTTTTTCCTAAACCTTTAACTAGTCCTGAACCCTGAACCTGTGAAGGCTGAAACCCGACTCTCACCAAGACCCTTGACCCCTGGAACCCCAAAGGCCTGAGGCCCCCCAAACTGTTTGGGTTTAGGGTTTAGGGTTTAGGGTTTAGGGTTTAGGGTTTAGGGTTTAGGGTTACACAAAACACCAAGCCTACTCAATCCCCGAAGCTGTCCTCTAGCTGTTGAACAAAGCCCCAAAACCCTAAACCCCGAACCCAGGCTAAACCTTAAACCCTACACCCTTCTTGGAACCCAGGCTTCAGCTGGGAAGTCGGCCCCAAAACCCTAAACCCCGAACCCTAAAGACTCTCCCCCTGAAGCCCCTCCAGCTCTATCGCCTTGAGCCCTTCGAAAAGAGACCCTATTGCGTAATGTAGGGGCCTTAATAA